CCCAGGAATTTTGTGGCAGTTCAGAGTCCCTTACGCTGTCAACCTTTATCTCGTAAAAATTGCACGTGCGTTCTATTTGGGTGCCCCCTTTTAATCTATAGCCGCTTTATCTTTTTATTTGTATTTGTACTTACTTTTTCACATAACTACAGCATAAGTGTTTATTTTATAACTGGACGACTTAAGCTTAACAGCCTAAGTGTTTATTTTATAACTGGACAACTTAAGCATAACAGCCTAAGTGTTTATTTTATAACTGGACAACTTAAACCTAACAGCCTAAGTGTTTATTTTATAAATGGACAACTTAAGCCTGAACAACTTAAGCTTAACAGCCTAAGTGTTTATTTTATAACTGGACAACTTAAGCCTAACAGCCTAAGTGTTTATTTTATAACTGAACAACTTAAGCCTAACAGCCTAAGTGTTTATTTTATAACTGGACAGCTTAAGCCTAACAACCTAAGTGTTTATTTTATAACTGGCCAGTTAAGGAGGAACACTTCGGCCTAACAACTGAAGTGTGTTGAAAAAGCGGGTACGCTTGCAAACAAAAAGATAAAGCGGGCACAAGTTAAAATGTGGCACAAAAAACGGGATAGGCTCGTTCGTTCATTAAGTCATGGGCTGAATTAGAGGTAACAAACAGACATATCGGGTCAGATATAAACATGTTAAAAAGTAATAATACAAAAACGAATAAATTATTCGATCCGACTTATATTTAATGTGGGTAAAAAACGGGTTAACCAGCGAATAATATGGATATTCATATTATCTGACTTCTTAAATATGATTACTTTTGGGAGAATTAAACTTGAGGAACCCCCAATTTGAGGCTTTACAAATGTAGAAGTTAAACTCATTAGTTATTCATTGGTTATCCATTTTCTAAGTGGATAATATGATTCTTATTTATATTTAACGCATTTTTATAAAGTTCATTATGCAACCTATTTTTTAATGAATAATATGGATGAATAACTATTTTCTTTTAACTATTTTGCCAATCACTAAGTTGATTACACAGAGATGATGTGGATCATGGCTCTGACCGACATAACCTAATCGACTTTAATAATATTGTGTTCATTTATGTTTATGTGACACTATTACCTTATTAGTCCACTTAAAAAAGAAAGATACACTTCTATTTTGGAACCAATCCTTATCCTTGATGAGAACGTTTTATAACCATAGAAATTTTAAATTTTATAATCACACAAATGCTACAATATATGTATGATAACAAGTTTTAAAAATTATTTTTACTTTTTAAAATTATGTCTTTTTTTTAAATTCACAATTACAATTATAGCATGTCTCTATAAGGTAAGAGTGGAATTTATTCTTTATTTTGTCTTTTTTATTCACTCAAATTTCTTCCATTTTATTGATTTTGTCCAGATCCCACCTTTCTTCTAAAAAAGGAAAGTACTAAAGCTGCTGGAGCAATTTCTTTCGATTGGACTTGCAAATCGAATGAATCGTAATCTTGCTACTTTAAATTTCTGTTCTCCTCTCAAGATTTGATGATTTTATACCAGCTTACCAAACCGATAGTTTATCATTCTGTAGAATTGTTGTGAGTCCCATTAATTGAGACTGGTTCACTAAATCCTGCCTTGATTGCTTTATTCTGCCTTGTATCGATTCGAATGAAGACACCTAAATTGAAATAGAAGGAGTATTAAATACTTATTTTCTTAAAAAAAAAAAAAAAGAAGAGATTTTTACATTCCTATGTCACATAGGAAATCTTATTGCCCTCAATGTTTAAGGTTTAATTTAATTACAATTAATATACCAAATTACCAATTAGTATCATAATTAATTAAGGGTATAGTTAATTGTACATTTTTTACTCCTTAATTAAAGGAATCTACACGTTTCTTTCTCCTAACCAATACAAATATGATACATATGTGATACACAAATGATACACAGTATGATACACATATTATTTTTTTCATGTTCAGTTTTTACTTCGAATTTTCTATTCAAACCTCCTCAAAACTTCACCAAATCATCACAAAATTGAGATTCAAGCTCATTAAGTTGTGCCCAATCTATTCTAATAGAAGCCACTCAAAGCAAAGCAAAAATTTAATTTTTTTTTGCTACAAATAGCTAATTGGCTAATATTAGTAATATTTTATCAATTGGCCAATTTTTGTAATTCGCTACTTATAAATGGACATAACTGGTAATTTCCCTTTTTATAACTCTTTAACTCCAACAACAAGATTCAAGGGCATTTTGATACATTACACACGTCTCTAATTTAAGATCTTGAAATTTACAAAGAAATCTTGCTTTTCTTAAACTTCGTATCTATTCAAACTAAAACACATAAAATAAAACGTAAGGGGTACATTTTAAACAGTGGCTTATATTAACAAGCGCTGCAAAAACTGGCCATCCCACTCAATTTTACAACCAAATGACCTCAAGTGAAAAATACAGGGCCAGCAGCCTTTTCTCTTTTTAAAAAGATTTGCTTCAACAGAGCCCAAGACTCTTGCCCATTCCAATCTTCTTTCAAAGCCCAGGAGATAATCCAATTCAGTTAAGCCCATCCAAATTCTTCCTTTGTCCATTTAGAGCACTGCTATTTGTTTTAAGAGATTTTTATTTCCTATACCATATATGAAACCTTATTATTAAAAATGTGCATAATTTCTAATTTACCCGCCCTGTCCACATTTTTTCTACAGTTATTATACCAATCATTAAATACTAATTAATAGTACTTGAATCTTTTTGATTTGTCGAGCTAAAATTAAGGAACAAATATTCTAAAAAGATTTGGTGTAAATTAGATCAAATTATATTCTTCTAGATATTTTCCACCATTGATAGCCATTAAAAAGCTTGAAAGCTTTTAATTCAAATTTGAATTTTCAAAAATTATTATTTATTTGGATAGGGCGTTGTTGAAAATAATCGGAAATATGGTTTGGAGTTTATATCTCAATTTTGAGGGGTTTTGGTGAAGATTAGACTTGTTTTTGACTGAATTTAATACTGAAACTCGAAGAAGAAGAAGAAGAACTGGAAGAAGAAGAAGAAGAAGAAGAAATTGTAGAAATATTGTAGAAATTGTAGATTATTTATATTGAAGATTAGACTTATTGTAGATGCTTTATTTTCTGTTTTCACAAATAAAAACGGCTAAAACTTCTACAAATCTTCTGAAAAATGCAATTATGTCAAAAATTACAATTATACTATAATTGGATGAAAATTGAGATATAAAAATTCAATGTACCCAGTTTGTAAATATTTTGTAAATAAATTATAGATTATTTGTATTCTAATTGTATGTGCTTTGTTTTCTGTTTTCACAAATCAAAAATGACTAAAACTTCTACAAATCTTCTGCAAAAAACGCAATTATGTCGAAAATGGAAATTATGCTACAATTGAAATGGGAATTGGGATATTAAAATTTAATGTATCCAGTTTGTAGATAAATTGTAGATTATTTGTATTCTGATTGTAGATATACTGTTTTCTGTTTTCACAAATCCAAAACGACTAAAACTTCTACAAAATCTTCTGCAAAAAACAGTCTACAATTTATCTTTAATTGTTGCAATATAATGTATGTCAAGTCGTCTTTCAATCTGAAATTTAGCCAAAACCAAGTCTAAATCTTCACCAAAACCTCTCAAAAATGAGATATAATCTCCAAAACATATTTTCAATTATTTACAACAACACCCAATCAAAGTAAATAATGATTTTTAAATATCTAAATTTGAATTCAAAGCTTCAAAGTTTTTGAATGGCTATCAATGGTGGAATTGCTATTCTCTTGTCTCTTTCAAGGTTTGTTCTTCTGTGAATTTAGAGGGAGAATTTGTTTTCAGAAGATGAAAAATGGTAAAAAGAATGTGGATATGTGCGAAACGTAGGTGGGACTGAGGGTTTGGGATGACTTGGTGAAATTTTGAGGTGGTTTGAATAGAAAATTCGAGTAAAAACTGAACATAAAAAAATGATATGTGTATCATTTGTGTATCACATATGTATCATATTTGTATCAATTATGTATCACATATATATCCATGTATACCTGTGTGTGAGATACATGCGTGATACATGTGTCGCAGAAGACTTTTTTGAACTCGATTTAATTACCAATTATAATACAAAACTAGTCCAAATCACCTCCAATCTTCCTCAAATTTGGTATATTGACTTATCTATATATTTTCAATGAATTTCAACTATACCCATTGAAAAAGTTTCTTTTTTGTTTAGATTTTTGAAATATTGTATATATTTTTGTATTTTATCACCTTATTTGCTACCTCATCCATGATTTTTTCCCCCGTCTTGTATCTAGTGTTGCTAATCACGCTTAAAATATGGAAGGTAATTTTTTATGTGATTCTTTGAGAGAAAGAACCCTATTATTTGGTTTTTCAATTTTGGTTGGCTAGTTTTAGTAAGTCTATTTAATGGCTAAAGGTTAGTAAGTTGATATTTATTTGGGACATTTGTGTAAGTTTTCCTTATAAAAATTGATATTCTTTTCTAAACAGACTGGAAAAAAAAAGTAAGACAGATGAATTAAAATAGAGAAAGTAAGTAATAAATGGTCACTTTATAATATGAAAATCAAATATGAAGAAAAATATTTCTAGCTAAAAGACGAAAAAACTCATGCACAGTTTGGTAGAATTCCAAGCTCTTACTTTAGTAATTTCAAAGTGCATAAATTATATCTTCTTAAAAGCTAATAAATTGTCCGGATTTTTTACTAAAAAAATAGAAATTAAAAAGCAAAAAAAAAAAAAATATTCAAAAATCAAAAATATCTTATTAGAATGAAAAAAGATCTTTTAGAAACTTCATCATCATTAAAAAAAAAACAAAAAATCTTAGTAAAAAAAATGATCTAAAAAAATTGCCATGTGACTGTTAAGCGTTAACGACACCTATCCACAAATGGAGGGTCCATTCTTTCCAATCCCATGATTGCTTTATTATTTTATTTTATTTTTTCATATTTTAACAATTATTTTTTCGAGATCCATCCTAGGAATTAGTACTCTTCGATTCCACTCTACCTCAAAATTCTTTTCTCTCTCAACAATTTTTCAAGACTAAGTTTATAATTTTACTGCTAAAGACACAAACTTGTGTACTGTTAATGTGCTTTGATAATGGATTCTTTGCATTTCTCACACTGTTATTCTACTCTAAATGCGAAAAAGAGACAACCCCAAAACCAAATTTCGAAACAATTCACTGTTCTTCCCCAGCTGAGTCAAACAAGTGTTAAAAATTCAATCTTGTTACCCAGAAAAAAATTGGGGTTTCTCATGGATTATAAAGGAAGGGGTACTGGAATTGTACGTGCAGTTTCTTCTGTTGAAACCAGGTATTGTTTGAATTTGAATTTATTGTACTTTCCCCGTTTCAATTTATGTAACATAGTTTGACTCGACAAGCAGTACTGTCCCTGGTGTGCTTCTTGTCTGTCTTTTCATTAATATGGTGTTATGCTTTCCTGAGCCGAGGTCTATTGGAAATCTGCGTACACAATACCCTCCGGACTTCACTATGTGGGTTATATTGGGTATGTTGTTGTTGTAGTTTAACTCAGACACAAATTTTAATAAAGGAATAACTTTTGAAACTAGTGATCTTAAACGTGCCATAATATTGTGCAGCTATACAAACTTCTCATTATGGTATAATGTGTTAAATTATTTCTAAATATTATGATGTGCAGTGGCGGATTTGGGGGCGGAAGGGGGTTCGCCGAAAAATTACACTTATAGGCAAAATCTATCTTTTTACCTCTATATATTAAGTTTTCATCCCACTAGCTACCAAAAAAATTCTTTTGATCCCCCTTCCTAGAGATCCTGCCTCCACCACCGATGATTTCTTTTTTGAATGGACTAATAAAGAAATAGCGTCACATAAACTGGAATAGAAGGAGTATTGAGAATGCTGGTTTCTTGTACTCTCTCTATCCATTTTTTGGTGTCTTTTAGTTTGACTTTAAAGTTCAAAACATTCACCTAAATTCTTTATAACTTGGAAAAAGAATAGTGTATATGTATTTGTGTATATTTTGATTTATTTTTGAGAATGCTGTTTTCTTCTACACTCTTGTCCGTTTTAGGTGCCTTTAAGTTTGATTTTAAAGCTCAACATTTTCACCTTGAATACTTAATAATTTGGAGAAAAATAGCGGGCACCTATAAAATTGAAATTAATATGATAGCGATTTGTCAAGCTTTAGTTGCAGAAGACTAAGCATATCGTGAGTAATTTGATGTTCAAAATTTTGACCTCAAAGACGGCTTAGTGCAGTTAATTTGGCTGTGATAATTCTGTGAATATGAAACTCGAGGGGATGGTTCGTGGCTGATTAACTACAACAACAACAACAACCCAGTATAATCCCGTTTAATGGGGTCTGGGAAATATACGATGGTCTTCGATTCCTGTTTCAAATCGTTACCTAGTCTATCATATTCATACACCAATTTCATTGTGCAGTTCAGCGAAACCATTGTTGTTATTCGCTGACTTTTGAAGAAATGTGGTTGTTTCCTTGACTTGTCGGATGCAGGGAAAAGCATCAGAAAGGAAAGAACAACAAGAATACTGAGAAGGTACAGTTGCGTGTTCGGCTTAAACACCAAGTTGAATTTGGGGAGCACATTGCAGTTCTGGGGTCGGCCAAAGAATTAGGGTCCTGGAAGAAGAATATAATGATGGACTGGACAGAAAATGGATGGATTTCGGAATTGGAATTACCAGCTGGTGAGAGTCTTGAGTATAAGTTTGTAATTGTCGGTAAGGACAAGAATATGTTATGGGAAAACGGCAGTAACCGGATCTTGAGGCTACCAGAAGGAGGAAGTTTTGAATTGGTCTGTCAATGGAATGTGACGGATGAGCCTGTGAATTTGTTGCAATTGGATCCATTTGTAGTAGAGGAGGAAGTAGAAGCGGCAAGTGATAATGGAGCTACAATTACTGGCGAGGCTGCTGTTCTGGATGCAGTAACAAGTCCGTTTGTGGAGCAATGGCAAGGGAGGGCTGCATCTTTTGTGCGATCAAAGGACGAGCTGGATTCCGAAAAAAACAGGAAGTGGGACACATCAGGTCTCACTGGGATTTCCCTAAAGCTCGTTGAAGGTGATAAAAATGCTCGGAATTGGTGGCGAAAGGTGGGAAGATTGATTAGATCTCGTGTTGATGGCATGTTTTGCATTCTGGAAATTGTTTGTGCTATAAAAGAATTACGTCATAGCATCACATGAATCTCTGCTATTTTTTTCCCGTAATTCATCAATCTGCATTGTTGTATCTTCACTGCTGTATATGTGCCTTCTTTTCAGCTCACTTGTTATGGTGTGTGAATTCTTCGAAATGTGTGTCTCCTTTTGACTATGGGGCTATATATCTCAATATATTTTTACTGACCCCTTATTATGATTATCGGTGGAGAAAGAATATGAAGGAAGAGAAAGAACAGGCAAAGAGGAAAGGGGATACCTTTTCTTTATTGTCTGGCTAAGATCAAGTGTGGGCACAGAGGGAAGGGGGAGAGAATATGTTGCCATGAAATTGAGAGTTAGTGTTTGTAGCACGGGCACTTGGTTCTTATGCGAATTGACTAATGAGTTACGACATTCTCTTCTTTCTGTTTTATTTGTTGCTAAGTAATCCATAGAGATATTGATTGCCCTCCATTTGGTGGTCTACTATACCACAAATTGCTTTTCCACCTATTAGAATCAACTTGCCAAAACTTAATAATTAACTATCTTCATTTTTTACTATTTTTTAGCTTGAGGTTGTCCGCGAACTAGTTGTTGAAAACATGGATAGTTCACAGCGCTTGGAGGCTCTCACATATGCAGCTGTCTATCTAAAGGTCTTTTATGATTTTTAGGTTACTTTCTTGATTTGATTCATGTCTATCTTCCTACTGACTATTACTCTTGGGTGCAGTGGATAAACACGGGGCAAATTCCTTGCCTTGAAGATGGGGGTCACCATCGGCCAAATAGGCATGCAGAGATTTCCAGGCTTATTTTTCGTGAAGTAGAAAAAGTCTTGAGTAGGCGAGACACTACACTTCAGGTATTCGATCATTCATTACACCGATATGCTTATTTAATTTTTATTATGTCTTTGGATTCTGGAACACATTGCTCGTCTCTTGAGCAGGTTGTTCAGTTCGTTTTGGAAATTCTTATTGGATCTGTTAAGTGGTGGTACTTTTGGTGACTCATATAAGTGACTGGAATTACGACAAGCTATAAGTGCGGGCGCATTATCCATCGAGTTGCAAACCGTGCGCCATTGGGCCTCGGGATTTCTCGGGGATAAAACAAAAAAAGTGACTGGAAATAATACTGTTATTCAGATTCCTCCAAATTTGATTGGTCTATGTTACATTCCTCAAAATTTGATTTAGGAGCAACTACTCTGAAGAGAAAATGCAGTTGCTTCTAGTAATGAGCTAATACAGTGGTTCAGATTGTTTTTTATCCTCCCAAAATCAGCTGTGCTTTTCTAACAACGAAGGGTCTGAACTTTCTGAATGCTACTCTTTCTTAAATCTCATTAATAGTTAGACAGTTCCGACACAAAGTAACAATTAGTCAAGATAAGTACTTGCTTTGACTAGTGTAATAAATCATACATCTGCTGTCTATAAATATGATTTTGTTAAAAAGCTTTTGAGTTTGAGAAAAATCCTCGTGATGTACTTTGTGGATATGAGTCTGTCATTGCCTAGTATCTGAGTTCTTCTTGCTTTTTCTTGTTTGAGTTGTTTAGAAAAGTGGTCTTTTCATTATATGCAGGAAATACTTGTAATCCGCAAGATGCAACCCTGCCTGCCTTCTTTTAAAGCCGAATTCACTCAATCTGTTCCGTTAACAAGAATCAGGGACATCGCTCATAGGAATGATATACCCCATGACCTTAAGGTTGTAACTGTAGCAGCTACCAAATATTATTTTCTTTAACTTTTCTTTTCATTCTCAACATTTACCTGTCCTTCTCATTATAAAAAATAATATTTACCTGTCCTTCAGCAAGAAATCAAACATACTATACAAAACAAGCTCCACAGAAATGCTGGCCCTGAAGATCTGGTGTCCACAGAAGCAATGCTCGAAAGAATTACCAAGAAACCCGGACAATATAGTGAGGCATTTGTAGAACAATTCAAGATTTTCCACAATGAACTAAAAGATTTCTTCAATGCTGGGAGGTATGACCTTAATCTGTTATTTATTTCTCAATGTTTGATTTCTGCAGAAAAATGTCAGTCCTGATGTGGGATAATAAAGGAAATGAGATAAGCAGACCAACTATTCAGCTTTTCCGTTACATGCATATGGTCCAGTTTCATTGTTTTGTAAAATAGGCTTCTTCACTTGCTAGATAATATGTTCTAGGTTTCACTAAGTCTGTATGAATTCCGATAAATTTTATGTCTTTTCGGACAACTTCCTTCCATGAATTTTAGGTTTGTATTGTTCCTTTTGAACACCTTCAATCATCATGGCCTCGCGCCTACAAACATGTGCATTTGGAGGTCTATGTATGACATGACCCAACTTCTATCGTTTTATCCTACTTATACTTTCTATCAGATGTGATAATTTTTTATCTTGTCTATTCTCATGTGGTTTCTCATCTACCTTAATATTCAAATTTTGTTACAATACTCATCTTGTGGACGTATTAGGAGTAATGACTAACATTCACTCCCATAAAATTTGTTGGTCTAACGACTGCTGTATAGCACTGACTTTCCACTTTGGTTAGGTAACCTCTTATCACATAAGGCACGCGTAACACTTCATTTCAACCATCGCAGTTTAATTGTATGTGTTACATTTTCTTCTTTTTGGAACATTGAGCTTCAATATCTGTATTGTTTTTAGTTAGGTATCACAATCTAGTCTAATCACACTCCCAACTTCATTTATTCTTCTCATGCTGGTTAAACTTGCAGTGCAAATATTGTGTCTTCTTAGAGCTTGAGTCTAATGAACACTGGTCTTGGGATAATTTTCCCTTTTCAGATGTGTCCCTTTGGGGTATATGTTTCTGGAGTACCAAACGCCAAAATATGAATGTCTATGATTTACACGGAATTGATTAGGTGGATTATGTTTCCATAATAAACTTGCTCACGGGAAAATGGAATTTGCTTGATATGACATTTTTCTGTTCTTTCCTTTCAGTCTTGATGAACAACTGGAATCTATAAGGGAATCTCTCGACGAAAGTAAATCGTCAATGCTTTCATCATTCTTGGAGTCCAAAAAGGTAAGTATTTTGATTGGTGATAGTACATAAGAGAAGGTCCAAATTTGATTACGAATATGATGAGATTTTAGCAATAGCTGGGTGCGCTTTAACGTGTATGCAGTTGTAATATGTATGTTGGATAGTTACGTAAATAAATTTGACTTAGATGTAATACACTGAAGTACAAGTGTCACACATCGGACAAATGTATGTTTAATGACTCAAGCTTAAGACTTGTCTTAGGACATTCTCTCAATCTCTTCTGCCGCCCTTTCTTATTTTCGTTATGTTGAAGAACTTTTTAGTATCAGTTCTCCCAGCTTCTGCACAATTTTAAATTTCATTAGAACATAACGGTCTAAATGGCTGTGAAGCCCTTCCATTGTTTCACAATTTTAAATATCACTAGATTTTATTTGAAAGATGGTATCTTTTGATATGAAGTGGAGACTTGTGTGCTGAGTCATTATTCAGTAATCACTCCGCAGTTCTTTGATTATGTAGGTACCCGGACTCTGGTAATTGTTTTCTGTTTTTGTCCTCTTGGGTTTAAGAGCTTGAATCTAATAAACAAGGGATAATTTGCCCTTTTCAGATAGGTCTCTTACCTATTTGCATTTTCTTATTCTGTTAAATATTCCATGTTCCTGGACCCATTTGTCCATAAAATTAAATTTCTTCTTTTCAAAACATTGGACTGAATTTTTGAAATTTAATTCCTTAGTGTAAGTCTCTTGATTTATTCCTGGAAGCCAAGATCTCCTTGTTTGGTTATTCCTTTATTAAAGCTGATGTTGGTTCCGGTTTTGGCGTCTTGCCTAGGGATTGGCTATATTGGATGAAAAACATAATGTTTCAGAGACTGAAAGGATGGGATCTCTAGTCAGGACAATAAACTCTCTGAATGCTCTCCGGGAAGTAATTGTCAAGGGTCTTGAAAGTGGGCTTCGAAATGATGCTCCGGATGCTGCAATAGCTATGCGCCAAAAGGTATGAATTTCTTAAATTTACTGGCACTGAATTCATAATTGATTCCAGTTACTTGAATCATCTAATACTTCCAACTTGTCATTGTGCAGTGGCGTCTCTGTGAGATTGGGCTCGAAGACTATGCGTTTGTCCTTTTGAGCAGGTATATACTCTGAATACCAGATATGTTCTAGTTATAATATTTTCCCTTTCCCTGGAGGTAAAAGATCTTTAATAATTAGAGTAAAGGCGAGGACAAGTTGATCGTTTCTCCTCTTCATTTGAACATCAGTTGCATATGTTAATGATACACTTCCCATTTATTTTAAGAATCTTTCTGCAAAATATACAGGTTTGTCAATGCAGTTGAAGCTCGGGGAGGAGCTGATTCGCTTGCAGAGAATGTAGCACAGAAAAATGTTAGCTCTTGGAATGATCCAATTGGAGCACTTAATGTTGGAATCCAACAACTAGGTCTATCTGGTTGGAAACCTGAGGAATGCAAAGCTGTTGGAAATGAGCTTTTGTCATGGAAAAAGAGGGGACTTTCAGAAACCGAAGGTATCTCATTGTCTTTCAATGATTTATCATATGTGCAATCGTGATATGCTTCAGGTCTCCTGAAAATTTTTGTGCTTATCTTTACTGAAGGCAGTGAAGATGGTAAGACCATATGGGCATTGAGACTAAAAGCTACTCTTGATAGAAGTCGGAGGTTAACTGAGGAGTATTCCGAGACACTTCTCCAAATATTCCCTGAAAAAGTCCAGGTGATTTACCTGTAAACTATCCAAGTTGAGCATTTAAGTTTGGACCAATTATGATAAGGGCTGACTAACTGCGTTTGTGGTATTGCAGATTTTAGGGAAATCTTTGGCGATTCCTGAAAATAGCGTGAGAACATTCACTGAAGCTGAAATTCGAGCAGGGTATGATTTGGACAGATACTTTGTTCTGAATAGTGTTTGCTCCAATCTGATTATGCTTATTTCTCTCTGTCTAGGAAGATGTTACTATAAGTTGACAAGTGGCTTCTAACTTTTAAAATACGTGTCATTTGTAGTGTGGTTTTTCAGGTTTCAAAGCTTGCTACACTACTTTTGAAGGCTACTAGAAGGACAATTGGGTCTTCGGGCTGGGATGTTCTCGTTCCAGGGGATGCTTTTGGCCAGCTAATACAGGTGCATGTTATACTGTTTATTCCACACTATGTCTTCCTACATGTTATAATTTTTCTTCCTGAATGCATAACCATTGCCATTTCTCTTGCAAGCTGTCTCTATACTATCAAACACAAACAAATGCTAACATGCAAAGGAAAAATCCTCTCTCATGTAGAAATTTCACCCCTTAAAGTTTTGATGCAAATCTAAGTTGCACGTACTAGTTCTAGGTTTTAATTTAACTGTAATGCTGCGAATGCATGCATTTTTCTCTTTTTGAAATTTTATCTTAAGTCTATCTAAACAAGTTTTTTCTTATAGTGCTATCAAATCCGTAACTGGAATATATGGGCTGATTACATACATTTCAGGTGGATAGAATTGTCCCGGGGACCCTACCATCATCGGCGACAGGACCTGTTATTCTTGTAGTGAACAAAGCTGATGGAGATGAAGAGGTTGCCCGTGCTTCTCATCCTTCTGTTTCTTTTGCGGAATCCTAAGGCTTTAGAAACTTATGTATTACTCAGAGCAGGATACTGAACGGCGTTGTTGACCATTTTACAGGTGACAGCAGCAGGAAGTAACATATCCGGGGTTGTACTTCTACAGGAGCTACCTCATTTATCTCATCTAGGTGTTAGGGCGCGGCAGGCAAGTTCCAAATTTTGCCTCCTTCTCCACAAGTTAATTATAGGCTTTTCCCTTTTATGTGAGTATTAGTTATAAAACTGTTATTTTCTTTTGATTGCAGGAAAAGGTAGTTTTTGTGACCTGCGACGACGATGACAAAGTTTCTGATATAAGAGAACTACTTGGAAAATATGTGAGGTTATTTTCTTCACCCCTTATGTCATTGATTTCTACATGCTGCACCAGTTTGACTTCTGATGAGAACTTTAACTCCATGATTGTAATGCTTTAGTAGTTTCTCTGTTTTGCCTTAATTTTCTGTGGTTATTGACCCTTCATTTTTCAGGTTAGAGGCATCATCAACTGGTGTAAAGTTAACTTCCTCTTCATCAGAGAAAGGCACTGGTGTTTCCCAAAAAAAACATCTCTCAGTTACTGCTTCATCTACGAGTACAGCCTCATCGGACAGTAGTGCTTCCTCAATTGCTGTCAAATCTTCTCATTCTAAAGAGGTAAATAACTTTTCTTGCCGATGACATGTTTCTGTAAATATGTTGGGCTGTAGTTATGCTTTTCTCCCTATGTAAACCCCCC